AATACAAAAGGAAATCAGCTCTGAATAATCATCGGAAGGACTGATGCTGAAGCTGAAGCTCCAATAGTGTGGCCACCTGATGGGAAGAGCTGACTCATTGGAAAAGACCCTGGTGCTGGGAAAGATTGAAGGCAGGAGGAGAAGGGAACAACAGAGGATGAGATGATTGGATGGCATCACCGACTCTATAGACATGAGTTTGAGCAAACTCCGGGAGATGGTGAAGGACAGGAAGGCCTGGCGTGCTGCAATCCATGGGATCGCAAAGAGTCGGACATGACTGAGCAACTGAACAACAACATATGTATTGTGCAATTGTGAGCTGGCAAGTCTGAAATTTAGGAGGTAGGCTGGCAGGCTGAAAACTCAGGCAGTAGCTGAGGCTGCAACCTTGAGGCAAACTCTCTCCTTCCTCAGGGAAACCTGTTTTTTGCCCTCAACTGATTTGACCAAGTCCAGTCACATTTTCCAGAGTAACCTCTTATATGGATTATGGACTTTCATCAGATCAAAATAGCTTCACTGCCATGCCTAGATTAGTGTTTGATTGAATAACTGTGTGCATTCACTTGCCAAGTTGACACACAGAAACTAATCATCACAGTTGGCAAGCATGGCTAGGTTATCTGACCAGTGTGCCTCTCTAGGGGATTGGGGGTTGGAGGGAGGGCTGGTCAAAGAGGATGTGCTGGCTGCGGGGTTGGAGTGAGGCAGGGGGCACAGAGGTCAAGGGCCCAGGACTAGCTGACCCCCTCGGCCACGGGGTGGGTGCAGCCTAGACGGCCTTGTCCGAGACCCAGGCTGGGCAGTGGAGCCAGCGGGCCTGAGGCGGTCAGTCAGTGGGTCAGAGTGTGGTTCTGGAGAAGCGAGGCTGAGACAAGGCTGTCGGGGTGGGGAGGGACTGACGATCTCATCGCAGGACTGTGCGATGCCCAGGCTGGCTGACCCCAGCACCCCCACCTCACCCCCATCGCCCCCCACAGGAATTTTGGGTGAGGCTCCCGTGCTATATCATGGAGACGGACTACACGGAGGCCTTGACCCCCATCTGCGGCAGCCTCACCAACCTGGCTGAGCGCCAGCTGCACGCCAAGGACGAGCAGGCCAGCACAAGCAAGAACAGGCACGGTGGGTAACCCCCTGCGCCAGCTGGAGGGACTGGGCAGGTGGGCCGCCCCGTGCCTCGGACCGTTCCCCCTTCTCCAGGAAGCAGCCTGGAGCCCAGTGAGCCAGGCCTTCCCAAAGAGGCCGCCCTTGCCGAAAGCCGAGGAGGTTAAAGTTGTGCAGGCTTCCTCTGGCAGCCCACTCCTCTCATCCCCACTTCCCACCCACCCTGGCCCAGACCCCAGGGCAGGGGTCCTGGCTCAGGCTTCCCACACGTGTGAGCTCTCTGGCCCCCGTGAGCCCACTGGAAGGACTGTATATCCTATCTGAGGCCTCTGGAACCACCCCCACCAGGCCCTCTGACTCACCGTGATGACCCACTTGTTAGCACCAGACCCTCAAGAAAGGGACTAGACTGTCCTACTTACGGGGACCCTGCAGTCCCAGGGGGCTGCTGCCATGGTCCTGGGGCTTTGAGGATGGATGTGGCCAGTGACAGAAGGTGACTACAAGCCTACAGGACCCAGCGATGGTAGGGGCAGAGCCTGCTCTGAGCATCCGGCTAGACCACCCCTGGTCTGCCTCCTACCCGGACCACGAGTCTGGTTGCCTCCTTCCTGGGTGCCACCCCTCCCTGCAGCTTCCAGCAGGCCTGCCCTTCCCTAGCCTGCTGGTCCAAATGCTGTGAGATCCCTACTCGTGGGTTCACAGGCTCCCAAAGCCTGCAGAGGGAGGGGAGGGGATGGGGAGGTGTCTAGTTACTGTTGGCTAGAGGAGGCCAAGACTCACAGGAGAAGAGAAACACTCTCAGGCCGGCCAGGTGTGCACTCCCAAGTGGGCACGTCCTGAAAAGAGCATAGCATATTAACACATATGTATGGAAGTTAGAAAGATGGTAACAATGACCCTATATGCGAGACAGCAAAAGACACAGATGTAAATAACAGACGTTTGGACTTGGTGGGAGAAGGCAAGGGTGGGATGATCTGAGAGAATAGCTCTGAAACATGTACATTAGCACATGTGGAATAGATCACCAGTCCAGGTTCGCTGCATGAAACAGGGCAGGCACTCAGGCCTGGTGCACTGGGATGGCCCTGAGGGGTGGGATGGGGAGGGAGGTGAGAGGGGCGTTCAGGATGGGGAACACATGTCCACCCATGGCTGATTCCTGTCAATGTATGGCAAAAACCACCACAATATTGGGAAGTAATTAGCCGCCAATTAAAATAAATAAATAAATATATTGGGGAAAAAAAAAAAAAAAAGAGCATCTTCTCAGCCCCAGCCCAGATCACCAGGCTCCTCCTCCCCGGGATGGCCAGTTGTCGTGATGTCCTTTGAGGAAAATACCTCGTCCTGACCCCTCCTGAATTCTGGGGGGCTCTGGGATGCTGTTGGGGCAACACCTTGCAGGGGAAGCACCCCGGTGTACAGGAGCGGAGCAGCCTCAGTGTCCTGCATCTTTCTTTCCCCAGTGGATCTACCCGTGCTGCATATTCTGCTGGCCCAACTCCTGGTGAGTGGCTCACGAGTCGTGCACTGGCCTGGCCCCACTGTGTCCTGCAGAGCCCCTCCCATTAGCTCCTAATCCCCAGGGCCTCCAGGGGGAGCAGAGAGCTGGATGCTTGGCAGGACAGAGCTTTCCAGGCCCCCATCGTCCCTCTGGGGAGATATGGCAAGGGCAGCAGGCTCCCAGATTTCTCTGCTGGGCCTTTGAATGGCCCCAAGCATCCGTAGGACTCTGTGAGCAGGCTGCCCTTCCCTGGGGGTCAGCTCCGCCCTGCACCATGCATCCTCCTCCATGTGTTGACCCTGCTCCGAGCTCCATGGGACCCGGGGTGGGGAGGGAGTCCATGCTCTCGTGTCTCCTTTCCTGCCTTCAGCATCCTCTGCAGGGATGCTCTGATCCTGGGAATCCTCGGAGCTCTGCTTGAAAGGCCCCATCCCGTCCAACTCTCCCTTTATGGGCTCAGACAGCGAGGTCCCAAGTTGGGGCTTGCAGGGCCTGGGACTGCCCAGCCAGAAAGGGGCCCCACTGGAGTCTCGATGTTCCCCAGGTACTGATGTCGCCCCCTACAAGGGGGAGGGCCGCGGAATTGCCATGCTCAACCTTCTGAAGACCCTGAGCCAGAGCATCACCACCTCCACGGCCGACATGTAGGAGCTGAGGATCCCGCTGCTGGTCAAGTACCTGGAAGGTGAGATGCCCCGGGTGCATGTGTGAGCCACCCCCTAAGTGTACCCGCCGGGTGCGAGACGTGTGGCTGAGCAAAGGAGCCCGAGTGCATGTGTGATCCCCCCACACACCCCTAGTGTACATGCCGGGTACTCACCACCTCGTCTGAGCAAAGGAGCCCGGGGTGTGTGAGCCACCTCACATCACTGTACATGCCGAGTGCCTGTAACGTGGCCTGAGCAAAGGCGCCCGGGCTCCAGGTGGCCGGCACAGCCTACTCTGCTCCTTGGGAGAGTGGGGAGGGAAGTGAGGCTGTGGGGAGCCCATCCACGGAGGACCCCAGATGCTGCATTTAGGAGGCGGCGGGGACGATCCGCAGGAGAGACGAGCAGGGGTGGCCCTTCTCTCTGCAGAACTCACCGAGTTTACCTGGAACCAGAAGCCGTGGGAGGACAGGCTGATTCAGGTAGAGGTGATCCCGCCGCCTGAGGCCGGGCTGGGGGCTGGTTGGGGCAGCTTGGTGGGTTTGGCATGTGGGGAGTTCTGGAGACCCTAGGGGACACGTTCCCCTCCTGTCACAAGACTTGGGGAGCACAAGCAGCTACAGCATGAGACCCCACCCTGGAAGCCAAAGCCCCGGAGGCAGCACAGGGTGACCCCTTCCCGGCAGCCCCCAAGCCTGCACAGCACTAGGGCTGGGTCGGGGCTGAAAGGGCAAAGCCCTCTAGAGACCAGGGTAGCCGCTGGAGAGGGAGAGTCACGGCTCGAGGAGCACAGCCCTCTGGAGCACTGCCCACCTGTGCCTTCTTCCCCCACGCCCAGTTTCTGAGAAACTCCCTCAAGATGCCTCGGGGTTCCCGCTGGAGTCTGTGTCTGAGCAAAGAGCTGAACATCAGATCGAGAGCTTCGACAGCCCCTCCCTGGAGAAGGTTGGTTCCCAGAGGCAGGGCCGTTCAGAAAAGGAGGGGACTCGGGGGACAGCCCGCGTGAAGCCAGGTAGGCCTGAGGCTGCCTAAAGCGCCCTGGGAGGGGAGACGGCTGGCTGGTCCAGACCCGAGGGCTGCAGTGTTTTTCCCTGTCTTGTTTTTCCCTCAAGAACCTGCTTGGTTGGAGCTGGGGGGCAACTCCCCTCCAGTCACCAGCTTCCTCATTCCTCTCACCTCAGCCCCACCTGCAGTGTCGTCCCCAGCGGAGTCCATGGCAAGGAATGAGATCTGAGCGAGTCCTCACCTGTCAGCCCACGGCCCTGATCAACCGCAGGAAGCAGCCCCCTCTCCACCTCTGCTGCCAGCTGGACTTCGAGTGAGAAAGACGGTCATCTTGTTAAACCATGAAGATTTCAGCGCGTATGTGTTGCAGCAGCTCCCATCACCTTACACTTACTGAAAGAGCCTGCTGTACTTTGCTGCCCTGACCACTCCCAGGTGGTCCAGGACGGTGGGCTCCCAGCACTGCCCATGTGAACGTCAACTTCCAAGTCCTCACCCAGAAAATGAGGTGGCGCAGATGGACTACCTTAATGGACTCATTGCTCTCTCCTGGGGGCTGGAGAGAAATTACAGAGTGTACACTAATATCCATCATTTCACTGCTTGCCTCTGTGGAGTAGAAAGGCTTCAGTTTGCTAGAGAAAGAAGTGATAAGAGGAGGGATCAGTGGGGAGCTGAGACCCTCCTCTGCCCAGTCTGGGAGGTGGTGGGAGGAGGCATGTCACAGAATGAAGGAGGGGCCAGCTTCTCTGTTTGGGGCTTCAGGCATCTGTCCCTTCCCAAGGGCCCCGGCTCCACCCACCAGGGCTCCAGTCCACTGTCTGTCTGTGACGGAAGGGGAGACGCAGGCGTCCACAGCCACCTCTCCTATCACTGTCTGCTCTGAGTCTCTCTCTCTCCTGTTCAGAAACATTCCACTGGTCCTCCCTGACTGCAACCACAGACGCTGCTTCTGGGTGGTCCTGGCCCAGGACTTTTCAACTGTAATACCTGGCCCAGGAGCAGCAGCAGCATCCCCTTGGAGTTTATTAGAAAATGCAAATTCTGTGTCTCGACCTCAGAGCTGCTGAATCACAAAGTCTGGAGTGGAGGACTCCCCGGCGGTCCAGTGGTTAAGGCTTTGCCGTACTGGGCCAGAGGGGCAGAGTCGATCCCAGACATCTCGTGGCCAAAAAGCCAAAACATGAAACTGAAGCAATACTGTAACACAACTTCAATAAAGACTTTTTAAAAAATGGTCCACGTAAAAAAAATTCTTAGAAAAAAACAAAAAAGTTCTGGAATGGAGGTCATCTGTGTTTTAATAAACCTTTTGTGGTAGTAGCTAACTGCATGATGCACACCAGCTGAATCTCTTTCTGTTCCCTTCATAGGTGGATCTCAAGCCTAGTTGCATATTAGAGTCACAGGAGAGCTTTCTAAGGGCCCCAGGGGCCATGCCCAGGTCCAGGGATCCTTATTGAAGTCTTTGGTGGGGCAGGGTTGCAGAAAGGTTACAAGTTCCTCATTGGCTCTATTTTGCCTTCAGAAGGGAGAGCCACCCTCCACTTAAACTCTGAACTCCTGCCCTCCAAAGGGGTCCTATATTTCACCTTTCCGGGCCTTCCCACTCCTACCCAAATCCAGTAATGCTGTCTAAAGTGAAAGTGTTCGAATCTGACTCTTTTTGACCCCATGGACTATAGCCCGCCCATGGGGTTCTGCAGGCAAGAATCTGGAGTGCATTGCCATTCCCATCTCCAGGGGGTCTTCCAGACCAAGGGATAGATCCTGTGTCTTCTGCACTGCGAGCAAATTCTTTACCGTCCGAGACTTCAGGAAAGCCCCAAAGGAGGTGCGACCTTCCCCCAAAGGCACCGAGAGGTGGTCTCAGACTTTGTCTGCAGCCCAGGGCGGCGCTGGGGGCCTGGCCAGGGGCCCGGCTCACCTCAAGTCTGACAGGGCATCCATGGCCATGGTCCGCAGGGGGGAGAAACCAGGCTGTCAGTCGGTTCTGCCTTGATGTTTGCCTGCCGGGACAGCAGGGCAGTGAGTTGCCAGCCACCCGGAGTCATGCCACTGCCAGGGCAGGGGCTTGGGGGGCTGATGGCAGGGGCACGCCCTGCGTTACAGGCAGGAGGACCTGACAATGTCCTACGGGATCCAATACAACAGGCGCTTTCATTCTTTTCATGGTCAGTTGGCCTTTGACGTTTTAGATGAAGCTGCTCAGTCATGTCCAACTCTTTGTGACTCCATAGACTATAGAGTCCATGGAACTATCCAGGCTAGAATACTGGAGTGGGTAGCCTTTCCCTTCACCAGGGGATCTTCCCAACCCAGGGATCGAGCTCAGGTCTCCTCCATTGCAAGCGTATTCATTACCAGCTGAGCCACGACGGAAGCCCAGGGGAAGCAGCAAATCTCATGGGAGGAGTGGGGCTAAGATGGGCAGGTGCATTTGCTCATCTCTGCCACTTACTGGCTGTGTGTCCTTGGGCAAATCGCTTCCTCAGCCTGAGCCCTTGTTCAGGTGTCAAATGAGGACTCGGGGCCTGGCTCACAGGGCTGTGCCAGGCTCCTATGAAATTACATGCATGTGGCCCGACCCCGAGCGGGAGCCTAGTCAATGTCTGCTCCTTTCTCAGGACCTCCTGACTATCCGCATCTCCCTTCCCTCCAGGCTGCTGTGAAATTACATGCGTGTGGCCCGACCCCGAGCGGGAGCCTAGTGAATGTCTGCTTCTTTCTCAGGGCCTCCTGACCGTCCGCATCTCGCTTCCCTCCAGGGTGCTGCCAGTGCAGCCAGAGGGTGTCCAGGGGCCAGGGTTTCCATCGCAGGTGAGTGGAGAGGTCTGGGGACGAGGGACGGGCTGACCCACAACCTCAGGGGGCCCTGCTGCTGCCTCTTGCCTTTGCACAGCTGGTACTTTCTAGATCTTAACAAAGTTCTGGGCAAAAGTAGCTCTAAGTCCTGTCCATGGCAGAGCCCGACCTCCTGGTCCTGACTAGGGAGAAACGCTGGGACTAGCCAGGGGCTGACCATGGGGCTCTGTCTCCCAGCCCTGAACCAGACAACTTCGGGGCATCACCGGGCTCGGGGGCGGGGTCTTCAGCCCCGGCTTCTGGAATGTTTCCTGGCCATGAAAACCTTTATCCGATATAAGAAAGTCACACGCAGAACACCAACAGTCAGCTCAAAGCAGCACTGAGACTGGCGGGGACTCGGAGGCCCTTGCCGCCCCTTGAGCCTCAGATGGCCTCTGGTCAGCAGAGTGAGACCCCCAAACTGCCCAGGATGGAGGGACTCCCCCAGACAGCTTACCATGATAATGCCAGTCAGGGTCACCTTTTGGGCAAATTGGAAGTCCTCCAGGTCCTTGATGTTCTTGATGGCATCGGTGACCTGCACCACGCTCTTCATGAAGGCCAGTTTGAGGCAGATGTCCTATGACCATGACGAGGGGCAGGGAGGACCTTGTGAGTGAGCCCCAAAGACCCCAAGACTGAGCCCTGCTCCCAGACCCTGGGGCCACACAGAACACCCTTCCCCTGCTGAGGAAGTATCAGTGTCAGGGGCACTCTCAGAGACGCTGGCCCCACCCTGCTCTTCAGCAACCTAGTCGGGACATTGGCCAGGCACTGGACAGGGCACAGCCTCCCAGTGCCACCCCCAGGAAGGTGCTGCCTCCCCAGCCTCTCCATCTTGTGCCTGAGTACAACAATGCCAGTCAGGGGGCACCTTCATTCACCAGAGGATCTGTGCCCTGTGTCTCATTGCAGGGGCAGAGCAAGTTACGGAGGTCAAATCAGTTTTGCTTTTCTAAAGCATGACCGAACCTTCAGGACATTATGCAAAATGAAATCAGGCGATCTGCAAAGGACAAACACGGTGTGATTCCAGTTTATATGAGATGCCTGGAGCGTCACCCTCATAGAGATAGGATGCAGAGCACGGGTGTCAGGGGCTGGGGTAGGGGGAGTGAGTAGGGAACTGATGATAGTGGGGGCAGGGTTTCAGTTTAAGAAGATGAAGTACTGCAATGATGGTGATGGCTGCCCAAAGTTTGAATGCACTTAATGCTACGCGAGTAAAGTAATGCTCAAAATTCTCCACGCCAGGCTTCAAGAGTATGTGAACTGGGAACTTCCAGAGGTTCAAGCTGGATGTAGAAAAGGCAGAAGAACCAGAGATCAAATTGTCAACATCCACTGGATCATCGAAAAAGCAAGAGAGTTCCAGGAAAACATCTACTTCTGCTTTATTGACTATGCCAAAGACGTTGACCATGTAGACCACAACAATCTGTGGAAAATTCTTCAAGAGATGGGAATGCCAGACCACCTGACCTGCCTCTTAGAAATCTGTATGCAGGCCTGGAAGCAACAGTTAGAACTGGACATGGAACAACAGACTGGTTCCACATAGGGAAAGGAGTACGTCCAGGCTGTATATTCTCACCCTGCTTATTGAACTTATATGCAGAGTACATCATGAGAAATGCTAGGCTGGATGAAGCACAAGCTGGAATTAAGATTGCTGGGAGAAATATCAATAACCTCAGAAAAGCAGATGACACCACCCTTATGGCAGAAAGCAAAGAAGAACTAAAGAACCTCTTGATGAAAGTAAAAGAGGAGAGTGAAAAAGTTGGCTGAAAGCTCAACATTCAGAAAACCAAGATCATGGCATCTGGTCCCATCACTTCATGGCAAATAGATGGGGAAACAGTGGAAACAGTGACAGACTTTATTTTGGGGGGCTCAAAAATGACTGCAGATTGTGATTGCAGCCATGAAATTAAAAGACGCGTACTTCTTGGAAGGAAAGTTATGACCAATCTAGATAGCATTTTAGAAAGCAGAGACATTGCTTTGCCAACAAAGATCTGTCTAGTCAATGCTATGTTTTTTCCAGTAGTCATGTACGGATGTGAGAGTTGGACTATAAAGAAAGCTGAGCGCGGAAGAATTGATGCTTTTGAACTGTGGTGTTGGAGAACACTCTTGAGAGTCCCTTGGACTGCAAGGAGATCCAACCAGTCCATCCTAAAGGAAATCAGTCCCGAATATTTATTGTAAGGACGGATGCTGAAGCTGAAGGTCCAATCCTTTGGCCACCTGATACGAAGAACTGACTCTAAAAAGACTCTGATGCTCGGAAAGCCTGAAGATGGGAGAGGAAGGGGACGACAGAGGATGAGGTGGTTGGATGACATCACTGACTCAATGGACATGAGTTTGAGTACACTCCGGAAGTTGGTGATGGACACGGAGGCCTGGCGTGCTGTGCTCCATGGGGTCACAAAGAGTTGGACATGATTGAGCGACTGAACTGAACTGAACTGAATGCCAATGAACTGCGTGCTTAAACGTGGTTGTGATGACAAGGGGGAAATGTGTGCAGGAGTGTGGCTTCTCCAGGGGAGGACTGGCGAGGCAGGTGGACCAGACGTTCTATTAGCTTGTCAGCTGCGGGGTGTGGAAGTGCCTGCGTGGTCTGGTCCCTGGCCCCAGGGTGATCAGAGCAGGTGTATACTGGTCCAGGGCTTCCCACGTGGCTCAGCTGTAAAGAATCCGCCTGCCAGTGCAGGAGACACGGGTTCAGTCCCTGTGTGGAAAAGATCCCAGAGGAGCAAAGGGCCAACTGCTGCTGCTGCTGCTAAGTCGCTTCAGTTGTGTCCGACTCTGTGCAACCCCGTAGACGGCAGCCCACCAGGCTCCCCTGTCCCTGGGATTCTCCAGGCAAGAACACTGGAGTGGGTTGCCATTTCCTTCTCCAATGAATGCAAGTGAAAAGTCAAAGTGAAGTCGCTCAGTCGTGTCCGACTCTTAGCAACCCCAAGGACTGCAGCCTACCAGGCTCCTCCACCCATGGGATTTTCCAGGCAAGAGAACTGGTGTGGGTTGCCATTGCCTTCTCCAAAAGGGCCACATACTCTGGTATTTCTGCCTGGAGAATCCCATGGACAGAGGAGCCTGGTAGACTACAGTCCATGGGATTGCAGAGTCATACACGACTGCACGACTAAACAGCGGCAGCATAGAGGCCCAGAACGTGAGAGCCTGATGAAGGAGCTGCTTGGGCACA